CAGCTAAGAGCGTGCGTTTTTGAGGGTTTAGCCATGGCTACCGATCCATGCTCCCGGTAGGCACGCTAGGTACGGCACGTACGGTAGGTACGGTCGCCCGAGGCTCACAGAATCCGGCCGGCGCATCTGAGCTTCCAACTTCAACCAAGGCCCAGGGTGCCTACTACCTAGGTAGATATGTATCCGTAGGATCTAGGTGGGTAGGTACCTAATAAAATTAAAGTACCTTTAGGCACCGTGACCTATAAGGTACTGTTTCGTGTAAGAGGACAGTACACTTGGTGGTGGGCGGAGGTTGCGCTGTCATACCTGTGACATTAGGGTCTCGCAAGCAACCGGGCGACAATCAGGCACCCCCTGTAACTGCATGCTTAAACATACCATATAATATTTGGGTCTCGCAAGCAACTACCTACGGTAGATGACAACCGGGCGCCTCCCGGTGACCATTATCCTAGGTTTGTAGTACTCCCCGGGGCTCACACGTACAACATTCCTCGACGGTTGAAGCGCTTCCTCAGCCTTCCTTGTAGGGAACAGTACCTTATAGGTATTGAACTTTATGGTTTGATTTCCTGTGGTGGGTACCCCTTCTACGACAGTAGCCGCCCATTTGTACAGTCTGGCAAAAAGTAACGGCTGGAAAGTCCCAAGACGCTGTTCCGGATCACACTTCGGAGTGTACCGGTACTCTACTCGACAGTCCGACAGTCGACACTCGTACCAGGTGTACCGTGTGACCGTACCTACCTTACGGTACGCAATCTGGCTACTGTCGTGTGAATCGGTGTGACTCTAGAGTCTAGAGCCGTGTGACTCAAGATAGGCGCCCGGGAGACGGGTGGGGTAGGCAGGGTGGTTAGGGTGGAATGGGTTGCGGAGCGGGTGCTTATTTCGGTTACGAGTTTTGGTTTGTATGCCCGGGTGTACGTAGCTTGAATGCTAAGTGAGCCTAGTTCACACAAGAGGCATCGGTACCGGTGATGGTAGGTATTCAGCTGTAATCAGGTACCCATAGGTAGTACCGATTACAACCGGGTAGGTAATACCTACCTACGTACGGTAGTACGTACTACGGTACCTAGGCTACGGCCGGTAACCGCCGACCGGTTGGTCTTGGCGGATCTGTTTCCACTAGAGTCCTGGCAGAGTCCAGAGTCCAGACTCCAAACCGGGCGTCATCATGATGCAGATGCTGCATGCAGCATTTCACGTCATCCGTGGCCTTGTCATCGTACCTAGATCTACATACTAGCATTGATTGAACTTTGAAGTTGCCGCGTCACGTACTCATTCGCAATGTAGAAAAGGGTACCGTACTAGAAAGTTCCTTGGTGTACCGTGTACGGTGTGACTGTTACACTGTCTCTGACCACCGTCATCATACGCAAACGGCCAGAAGATGGCCAGAGTTCGTTCGACGCGAGCCACTGTCCTAAGACAAACGGCACACCCTACGGCCCGTTTCTGCCGCCCTCCAGGCTGGCCAGGCCAGGAAAGTCCTGGACACCTAGACCGTAGGAAAGCTACCTACCCGGTGGCTGCGTCACTCGGCCGAGCTAGCTGTTACGTCCGGCAGGACGCTTGTCATCGAAGTTTCGCCGTCGAAAAACCTTCCGGGCACAATCAGCTGTAGCCGGCCCCGGCCGGCATGGATCGAAGGCTACACTCTCGTACCTACCGTATACCGTAGTCCAACGTGATGAATCCGAATAAATATATAATTGTTTGCATTCGGAAAGTCAGAAATTCGGATTTCCCATTCGGAAAGTGAAAATTCGGAAAGGTAAAATAACCCTGAAATGGTCCTCGGAAGCCGTAAAACTGCCGCAAAACTCCCC